TGAGGTATGTAAACAAACACCTCACTTTACAAAAACAAAGCAGTAACACTTTACAGTTGGAAAAAAAGACGAGTGAAATGTCACCACTTATGCCCTCTGCAGCAGGAACAAAGTCCTCATCTTTGGCCTTTTTGAAGAGGCAGGACTTGCACTCTTCCTGTCCTATTGTCCAGGCATGGATGTTGCACTTAGAATGTATCCACTCAAGTAAGTTTGCTTTGTTGATGATGAAATGTATCTGATGTTGATGATAAAAAAAAATCTTTTTGTCTGTTCCTGCTGTACACAGTTAATGTTTGATAATAAAAGTATTTTTTTTTAGCTCTGTGTGGAGTTTTGTGGAATCATAGCTGTACTTTATATTAAAAACACATTTAATCACATTGTATCTACAAAAAAAAATATTTTAGATATTTTAAAAAAATTCATTATTGCCAGCTAAAACTACATGTTCTTTGTATAATGGATCACATCATTATCATAATTAAATCTGCCCAAGACTTAGTGTTACAGCATTTAGTGTTACAGCAGCAGGGAAATCATAAAACTATTGTTTCTACATTGCAGAGCTTGGTGGTTAATGTGTGCTGTACCATATGCACTCCTCATCTTTTTCTATGATGAGGCAAGAAGATACCTTCTAAGGCGAAACCCAGGAGGTAAGGAGTCATATGTCATATGTCTGATTATTTATTCATTTATTGCTTTAGCAAAATTGGACCTAGCTTACGATATTGGTGGTACCTCCATGAAAGTACAATTTGACTAAACATTGTCTAAGTGTACTTTGGCTAATTGTACAGCTTAATGATTTCAATGGTTCAACAATGCCTCTAAGAATGCAGGTAACACATATCTGTCCTACAGAGTCCAAATACCTAAAATGTTTAAAATATTTGCCTCCGCTTCCATTTTCTCCCAAGTTTGCCCCCTGATTCTCCACTTAGAACTGTAGCCAAAAATAGTGTGCATTGTGCAAATATTGTGTGTGATGTGCTTCTCTTGTTAATGAAATTGTTTCCCTATTTTTCTCTACTTAGGCTGGGTGGAGAAAGAAACATATTATTGAAAAAAGGAAATCCCCCCACAAGCAATTTGCCACCTGCTCCTGCCAGATATTATTCTCCATATAAATCTATGGACATCTTTCTTGTGATATTCTCAAAAAGATACACGACTGCATCGTATACATGGCATAAATATATTCTTATTTGTATTTATTTATTATTACTAAATAAATACAAGATGTCAACCAAGCTAGGAAATGTGTCTTGTATATTTTTGTGAAATAAAAAAAATCCTGAGTTGCTTATGTACAATACTGAGTAAAAGACTTTTTACTGTTGAAATACAGGTATTTCTCTAATAGTCTAAATAATACTATTCAAAATTATCATCTGCCACATTACAGTGAAGACTGAAACTTTCAGTTAAAAACTTGACTTGATCAATCCTCAAATCCTCAGACAGTCCTTAAAGAAATGGTGTGTCTCACTTTAACGCGCTATTCTTTTTTTTGTCAACCACTGAATTCCCAATGAAAATTTTGTGGTATCTAAAAATAATAAGCCAAAACAAGAACACATCAGGTATTGTCAGATCGAAAAGCAATAAGAACACTTTCCAAAATGTAGTATAAAATTATAGTAAGATGAAAGATTTCATTGCCAGGATCAAGTGTCATAGATTAGACTTAAAGCTAAACCCTGCAGGCTGTTGGATCTGATTGGCTCGGATCGGGCACCACTGTTTACACCACAAGTTTATGGAAAGATCAAATCATGCCTTTGAATTGCAGGCAATGCAGTATCACCTTGATACATATATACATCACTTTGTCATTTTGGAATATATTTCATCATATCAGAACTTCATAACTAATTTTTCCCCCCATTTTTATTATCATATTTTTTTAACAGAATGTAAAAACATCAGCTGTCCTGTACATTTGGTGAGCACCAGCACGAGACCAGTAGATTTTTAAAGTTACCCCTTTGGAATTAGGATTTTTTACTGAAAGTAGCAATGTAAATAAATGGCTTTCTCAGAACACAGTGAATTTACTGCACAATCATGGGCCATTTTCTTATAGAACAACCCCTTACCAAAATGTTTGGAAGCAACATTAAACAAAGGTGCTCTTAAATAGATGAAATTAATGTGACAGTTTTCATTCTTTAATATCTCTTGTTGTTAAGAAATGCATTAGTAGACAACTTGATTTTGTTGTCATGACTAAGAGCTCAGTTAGCTAGCTAATGCCTTTTGTTAGAGAGATTATGTTAGAGGGTGAAGGACTACCCAGGCAGCTACAAAAGGTTAGATCGGACATTTTGCTGACTGAAGCCATCACAACCAACCAGATGCAAATATGTTCACTTTCAAAGAAACAATTTCTAATGCGCATGTGCCCTTGTTGAACTCAAGGTGTGCACTCAGACTACTAATGATGTCAATCTGTTTCAAATATAGAAGGAAGAACCATGTGTTAGTCTTTATCCTGGAAATTACTGAATTATGGAGTGACAAGTGGAATCTTTTTATCTATTTATTTATTTATTTATAGTGCTATAATGTCCTTGGTCTAAAAAATAATTTATTAAACACACCATTGATGACATACAATACTGTGCAAAAGTCAGAGACCACCCGTCATTTAGTTAATTTCCAGTTAAATTGGCCACTTAGTAATTATTCATTTGTCAAGAGATATTTCTGAGGAGATTAGATATAAGATAATCTACTTGAGAAGGGAACGGGAAAGTCAAAGGAAAAAATCAGGAGTTTCAAAAAATGAAAAGATGAAAATGGGACCTCTAACAAACATGCAAGATATGGCAGACCACCAAAACTGTCACCATCAGATAAACGGTACTTAAATCTGTAAAAGGAGAACATTAAACTCCACTCCTGTTTCCGTGTGAGAAGACAACTCAACACTATGGATATAAAAACATGTGTAGCTGTCAGGAAGCCATTACTGAGAAAAGGAAACAGCCAAGAAAAAAAAATAAAAATAAAAATTGCAATTCAAACAAAGAAGCTGCTAGTGTTCTCAGAATGATGGCCTGACCACTCCAGAGCCCAGACCCCAATGTCATTGAATGTGTTTGGTGTTACTTGGACTGTGCAACCAAATTTAAAGACTGAACTTTAGAAGTGTGAAAAATATCCCTCAAGATTTCCTTGAAATACTGAAAGATATATATATATATATATATATATATATATATATATATATGTATATATATATATATATATATATATATATATATATATATATATATTTAGTTGTTGAGGCTTCTGTGCAATTTTCTTTTAAGTATTTAGTTTCTGCTTTTTTCTTGGTGCTGATAAAACAAAAAAAAACAAACAAAAAAAAAAACTTAAGGGCTGTTTTGACTGGAAATGAAATAAATGAATAATGGTCTAATGATGCAAAATACTGTAATTTTGCTTGAAATTATGCTAGTGTGAGTAAAAATAAACACGAATTTAAAACATTTAATTACGTAAACACTCTCTTTTTCATTTCATACTTGTGCCATTTATTAATGTACTTTAACTATAATTCAAAACATACATTATGTGATCTATATGCTCTAAACGTATATATACCTAAAGCTATTTGTCTAGACAGTAAGTGTTTCTTTGTTCGAAAAACACTAACATTGGAATAAACACAAATAAACTTTGTATTGCCACATATCTCTTTGTATTTACAGTTACAGTTAGTATCTAAGGTAATATAATGTTTTTACATAACTATAACTATAATTACAGCAACATATATATACACCAATTTGTACAAATTATATTTTGCTACTTCGTGAGACATAACAGGTACTCACCACGTTACATGCCATCTTTCTTGTGAAAGTCCAACAATAGATTGCTATCCTCTTGTGAGCTAATTTAGAGACATACCACCCAAACTCCTGAAGGGGAGGAGTTTGAAATAAAATCTGGCAGAAATTGGTAGTGTGATTTACTCAACCTTCATCTATACAGGTAGGTCATTTGAGCTTCTCAATGACAAGAACAGGAGTACATATAAATTTGTCCTCAAACAGCTTGTTCACATCCTAGACGTTTATGGTATAAACACTTCATTGTTCTCTGCACTCTGCATCATCCATATGAAGATGACACCTTTCTGTATGTGGTTGCACCTACACTAAAGCAAAGAACAGTTTATAGTAAACTTTCTACAATACTGAATGAATACTTTTAGGCTTATGTATGATTTACTACAAGGTTGCCAGCAAGTTTACTTCTTTTAGAACAAAGTGATATTTTACTCAAAGATTTGAAGTTTTCAAAAGAGAAATGGATAGACAGAACTAGAAATGACAAGTATATAAGTATTATAGTAAGTATGTATGTATTTATTAATTAATTTGTTTATTTAGCAACTTCCCAGGCCAGAGTCACAAAGTCCTTCACAACACAATAAAATATATAGTAAAATTAAATTAAAAACATAATAATAATAATGATAATAATAATAATAATAATAATAATAATAATAATAAGCCACAAAACATCCACATAAGACAATGAAATTAAAAATGACATGATCTAAGATTTTTAAAAATACCAAAATACAGATTTTTGTTTTTACCCCCTTTAGAATTATGTATTACAAATAACATTGTATGTATAACAACAGTTAACAAATCAAACAAACAAGAGTTTCCTCTATATCACTGATCTTGTCACTTTTTTAAGATAATTCATATTCTCTCTTTTTTTATCATCCTTTTTATCACTATTAGCAATTCAGTTGATTGTCACTGAATACGTCAATTGACCTACCTGTATGGACACACTGTGTATCTAAAATATTTCTAAAAGTGTGTCCACAAACTTACCCCCTTCCTAGATGTTTAGGGAAGGTTTTTGATTGGATGACATTGAGAAGTTCAGATGACCTACCTGTATGTCCCAATCGTATCCGAATCTCCTCCTCTTCATGCAGGTGAGCTGGTGGAGTATAAAGGCTGGTGGACCTGATTCTGAGATGCAGAGACTGTAATGTGTCTCTGGAGACAATAACAGCAGGACGGAGGGGGGATTCCACCAGATTTTGGAGAAGAATGGGGTTAGGAGTGAGTGGACTACATCTTAATTGTGTATCTCTTGTAATCACTTTATGACTTTCTTTTCTTTTGCCTTGGTAGTTTTTTCCTTATGGTATATCATTCTTCTTACATAGTGTAATCAAAGTATTTCATTCTATTATTTTAGAATGAATTACTTTATACTAATTTCTACTAATTTTACTGTATTTCACTAATGAATTCATTTAAAATCATTTACATAGACAGGGAATGAAAGATACACGTTGGCTTCAACCTCTGAGAATGAGAATAAAAAGAAGAAAAAAGGAAAGAGAGATCAAAAAGACCTAGAAGAACTGAAGAAAGAAGTGGACCTGGTAAGGAAGTTTCATTTATATTTATTAATTATTTATATAATTTATTTTAATTTTATTTTAATTATTGCTTACATAATCTTTCTCCTGTGCAGGATGATCATAAGCTGACGCCAGAAGAGCTTCAGCGTAAATATGGCACTGATCTTATTAGGGTGAGAAAATTTTTAAGACAAAACAAAATTTCAAGCAATGTGTACCAAGATTTTTTCCTGTTTATGTACTTTCATTCTTGCACTGCCATAAAACTAGACCTTTAATGCAGAAGGATTGTAAACTTAAAGACTGCTAAAAGTGAAGAGAACTTTATTGATATGAATTATAACAAAGCGGAGAATTTGCTTCAGCTTGCATTAACAAATACCTAATACCTCTGTTGATCTTTCATTTCAGGGTTTGTCCTATTACCGTGCCAAGGAGATTCTTGAACGTGATGGGCCCAACGCTCTGACCCCCCCTCCAACAACCCCAGAATGGGTTAAGTTCTGCAAACAGCTCTTTGGGGGATTCTGCACTCTACTGTGGATTGGCGCTTTCCTTTGTTTTCTGGCTTACACAATACAGGTTACTACAGAGAGTGAGCCTGTAAATGACAATGTAAGAAGAATGTAAAGTCAAAGATTAGTGAAATTTTAACAATGTACAATTTTACTCTTAATCATAAAGCACTACTACATTACATGTATATGTTTATTTCCCTTCAGCTGTACCTAGGTATTGTACTTGCGGCTGTAGTGATGATCACAGGATGTTTCTCATACTATCAAGAAGCTAAGAGTTCAAAGATCATGGAATCCTTCAAGAAACTTGTTCCACAGGTAAAGACAATCTAAGTATATTGCAAATATAACTTTCTTTCACTGCATGTATACCGTAATTCACCTGATTGTGCTTTGGTTTACTTAGCAAGCCCTGGTTATTCGAGATGGTGAGAAGAAGAGCATTAATGCTGAAGATGTGGTGGTTGGTGACCTTGTGGAAGTTAAGGGTGGTGACCGAATCCCTGCTGATCTGCGGATTATTGCCGCACAGGGATGCAAGGTCAGTTAATCAGCACTTCTACAAATAGCTAACAACAATTTTGTCATAAAACATGATAACGTATATGATAATTTTCATACTCAGGTGGACAACTCTTCTCTTACTGGCGAATCTGAGCCCCAAACTCGCACCCCTCAGTTTTCCCATGAAAATCCTCTAGAGACAAAGAATATTGCTTTCCTATCCACAAACTGCGTTGAAGGTACACAAATGAACTAAAACTGTGACCATTTTAAAGAGTTTCCATTGATTTTTCAAAATGTCACTATAATTAAAAATATTGATTCATTTAGAGTGTTTTGAAGTGTGTTTTGAAGAGAAAAGTACTAACTCAGATTTCTTTATAATTTTGTTGATAGGAACCAGGGGTGGCAAAGCCTATAAGAGAAATAAACACATTTTATTTAGTATCCAAAACGACCAATCTACCTGCAGTTCAGATTTTTTATATGCAATACTGATAATGGTAAAGTAGTGGTGAATCTGGGAAAATAGGGTAATAGTTTGTCTTATAACGCCCTGCATGTACCTCTCCACCATGAATAGCTTTTAAAAATTAGATTTTAGGCCAAAACCTTATCTCAACGTTATCATAAATCAATGTTTCAGGCATTAGCTGAGGTATTATTTAAATTGGTGACATTTAACCATCATATGTAATAGTTTTCTGTAAGGGAACTTTCAGTGGCATTTAAAACTTTAGACATCTGGTTCCTCTCACCACTACTGTGAGTAATTCTAAGACTTGTAAGTTTCTCTAAAATGGCACATTTCACATCAAGCCACTCCAAATGAGCTTATTTTGTCTTAATATTTCATCATACAGAAATTTTGTAAAATTGGTGGAATTCTCCTTTGAGAATACAATTATATAAATAATAAACCATCAAAGTTTAATAAGTTATACAATTCTTCTACAGGTTCTGCCACAGGTATTGTCATTAACACTGGTGATCGCACTGTAATGGGCCGCATTGCTACCCTTGCCTCCAGCCTTGAAGTTGGACAGACCCCAATTAACATAGAGATTGAGCACTTCATCCACATTATCACTGGTGTGGCATTTTTCCTGGGTGGAACCTTTTGCATTCTTTCGCTCATCCTTGGATATGGCTGGCTGGAAGCCGTAATTTTCCTTATTGGACTCATTGTTGCCAATGTGCCCGAAGGTTTACTTGCCACAGTCACTGTAAGTATTGTACTGAGTGATACAAACTCCATATGACTCTACAGATAGCAAAAAATCCTTAATGATGTCATTGTTGTTAATGTAATTGCAAAGTTACTGTAAGTAATATTATTTAAAATCTATGAACTCTTTTAAATTGTATTTATGTAGTAATTGTTTCACAGATTGGCTAATTTGCTAAAGTCTAATCTAATCTGTTAGAGTTCAAAATTTGTTAGCAGAGCTAAAAAAAGTTTCTTCCTTTCAACTTCTTAGGCCCCACATGGGTCCACAATTTAGTTTCTCAATCTCATAACTATATAATTTATATAATAGTTTCATAAAATGATCTGATCATATTTTGATTTTAAAAATTATTAAAAATAGTAAGTCCAGGGTTTAAAGGCATAAAGGTGCTTAAAGCTTCATTTATTTTAGGTAGCTGTATTTCAATAATGTGATTTCTAAAAGCTATTGCCTCACTGCTTAATATGAGAACAAAAAGCTACTTAAAATATTCTTTGATTATTCATATAAATTTCTATTGTGAGAAAGCAAATACATAAGTGAATATGTGTGTTTGTACATATTTAATATCCAAATATAATTCTGAATATCCAAATTAGCAGTATTATGCATTGTTTGAATAGACTGCAGCTGCTTGTTCATTTTTGGTTAATTATACACTCTTAAGGTTCTAGTGGGTTTAGGAAAGAACTTGGTATATTGGTATAGAACCTTTACAATATGTGGAAATTGTTCAAAGTTAAAAAAAACACATCTTCACACATCTCATTACAAAAATTATCCTTTAATATCCATTCACTGAAGGGTTCTTTAGGGAACCAAAAGTGATTTTCATCAGCATTGATCCATAGAACCCTTTTAGCACCTTTTTAAAGAGTTTATTTACACAACACTAGATTAATATTTGGCTTGAAACTATCACTTTTAGGTGTGTCTGACTCTGACTGCCAAGCGTATGGCCAAGAAGAACTGCCTGGTGAAGAATCTTGAAGCTGTAGAGACACTTGGTTCTACCACTACTATTTGCTCTGACAAGACTGGAACCCTGACCCAGAACCGTATGACTGTAGCTCACATGTGGTTTGACAATGAGATCCATGAAGCTGACACCACAGAGAACCAGAGTGGAACCTCTTTTGATAGAAGCTCTCCTACATGGTCAGCACTTGCTCGTGTGGCTGGCCTGTGCAACCGTGCTGTCTTCCTTGCTGACCAGGCCAATGTTCCAGTTCTTAAGGTGTGTCTGTGTATCAAAATATTCTATAAAGGTTCATCTCAGACAACAGTGTCAAAATCTGATTGTTCTTTATGAGTAAACAGTCTTTACAAGAAAATATTGCTAAGTAATGCAGAATGTTTTCATCTTTTGCAGAGGGACACCACTGGTGATGCCTCAGAATCTGCACTACTGAAGTGTATTGAGCTCTGCTGTGGTTCAGTGAAGGACATGAGAGACAAACACACAAAGATTGCTGAGATCCCCTTCAACTCCACCAACAAATACCAGGTACTTTGTTTTCACTCGTGTAAATAACCTTTCACATAAGATGACAAGATCAAAGATACTGTTAGTCTAACATCAACTGATCTGTCATGCACTAGCTTTCAATCCACAAGAACCCCAACTCCTCAGAGACTAAGCACCTGCTGGTAATGAAAGGAGCCCCTGAAAGAATCCTGGACAGATGCTCAACCATTTTGATTCAGGGAAAAGAGCAACCCCTGGATGACGAAATGAAGGATGCTTTCCAGAACGTATATGTGAAACTGGGTGGCCTTGGAGAAAGAGTGCTAGGCAAGCAACTCATGTCAAGTGGAAACGTCAAGTATTTGAGTTCTGTAAATATAATACACAAGTAGGCAAATGTAAAAGTGACATTTTTTCTTGCAGGCTTCTGCCATTTTAATCTCCCTGATGATCAGTTTCCTGAGGGATTTGGATTTGACAGTGAAGATGTAAACTTCCCCACTGAAAACCTGTGCTTTGTTGGCCTCATGTCCATGATTGACCCTCCTCGTGCTGCAGTACCAGATGCTGTCGCTAAATGCAGGAGTGCTGGAATCAAGGTAAACCCCTTTAGCTCTCACTTGTGTGTGTCATATGTTCAGACAGCAGAATATTATTTCATCATTATATTATTTTTTCAAATTTGCTTAGGTTATCATGGTCACAGGTGACCACCCAATCACAGCTAAAGCCATTGCTAAGGGTGTGGGTATCATCTCTGAGGGCAGTGAGACTGTAGAAGATATTGCTGCTCGTCTGCACATTCCTGTTGAGGAGGTTAACCCAAGGTAGACAGAATTAAGAATTTTTTTCACTTTTCTGAAATACATCAGGTCAGTCAAAGTAACAATAAATGTCTTTTCAGGGATGCAAAGGCCTGTGTGGTCCATGGAGGAGAGCTTAAAAATATGACCCCACAGCAGCTGGATGACATTCTGAAGCACCACACTGAGATAGTGTTTGCTAGAACGTCTCCTCAGCAAAAACTGATCATTGTGGAAGGCTGCCAGCGACTGGTACTTCATTAGGACACCAACACATTCATTGTTCCGTAGCTTAGGATATTTTGTTTATTCATTTTTACAATGAAACTTCTGCCAACAGGGTGCCATTGTTGCTGTGACTGGTGATGGTGTCAATGATTCTCCTGCTCTGAAGAAGGCTGACATTGGTGTAGCTATGGGTATTGCTGGATCTGATGTCTCCAAACAGGCTGCTGACATGATTCTTCTGGATGACAACTTTGCCTCCATTGTGACTGGAGTAGAAGAAGGTAGATAGTACTGAACAGTGAAATGTCTTTTGCATTTTGCAGGTGATCATATTTGTCTAAAAATTTAATTCTCTTACCAGGTCGTCTTATATTTGACAACTTGAAGAAATCCATCGCGTACACCCTGACCAGTAAAATCCCTGAGATGTCGCCCTTCCTCTTTTTCGTCATTGCTGGCATTCCTCTTGCTCTGGGAACTGTCACTATTTTATGCATTGATCTAGGAACTGACATGGTATGGATGAAAATATTTCATATGTACATATACATATAACTGTGTATAGGTGATTATACTAACTGTGGCTTTTTATTCACCTTACAGGTGCCTGCTATTTCTTTGGCCTATGAAGGTCCTGAGAGTGATATCATGAAGAGGCAGCCCAGAAATGCGAAAACAGACAAATTAGTGAATGAAAGGCTCATCAGTATGGCTTATGGTCAAATTGGTACGCAAACACAAGATTCTTAAGAATTTTGCATAAGAAAATGAACGTGTTAGTACTTTCCTCCAAGGGTGCTGAGATCTACACTGAGTTGGTAATCCTTGACCCCCACTGGTCCGATCATCTACGGTGCAATAGCAGAGATATGCATCTAAAACAGACATGAGAGAACAATTACCTTATGGCATTTGGCGGATGCTCTTATACAGAGCAACTTACAATTTAATCACTTTTACAGAGGAAGGCAAATGTAGCATTAGGAGTCCTGCAAAATGACTTGAATATGTTAATGGCTTGATTTGCTGTTGCTTCATAGGGATGATGCAGGCAGTAGGAGGATTCTTCACCTACTTTGTGATCCTTGCTGAGAATGGATTCCTGCCCTTGTTTTTGATTGGACTGCGCGTAAATTGGGATGATCAGTATTGTAATGATTTGGAGGACAGCTATGGCCAGCAGTGGGTATGTAACACAAATCAGGTGCAATCAAGATGTGACTGATATAAATACACATTTCAATGGCCAAAATGCTTTATTCAACATGCTTCTGTATATTTTTTCAGACTTATGAACGCAGAAAAATTGTGGAGTACACATGCCACACTGCATTCTTTGTCAGTATTGTGATTGTGCAGTGGACTGACTTGATCATCTGTAAGACCAGGACGAACTCTCTCATTCACCAGGGAATGAAGTACGTAAACAAAAAGAAAATAATAACAATATAAAGCATTCAGTGACATTAGAGTTTAACTGCATTTAATAATTCTTTTTTTTTTTTTTTAGAAACAAAGTCCTCAACTTTGGCCTGCTGGAGGAGACAGCTCTGGCAGCCTTCCTGTCCTACTGCCCAGGCATGGACGTTGCTGTTAGAATGTACCCACTCAAGTAAGTTACACTGTCAAAAAAAGTGTTTGTGAAATATGTTGAAGACCAGTATTAAAATGGTTTTGTACAAGCACAGCATAAGAGTAGTTCATGTCCTCTGAATACTGAATACTATGAAAGAGTTAGCATTAATTAGTACCTGTTAGTATCTGTCTCAGGGGCATAGACAGATAGGCTCATAAACAAACAAAAAAACAATTATTTGCAGTAGAAAAACAAAAAAAATGCAGACAGACATGCATTTTTTTATGACATTAATACTTCTTGGTCAGCATTTTCACTTCATCTGTGTTCTGGTGTCTGAGGTTCTCAATTCTGATCACTAAAGCCAGTGCAGGAGCATTAAATTTCCTACTTAAAAGTTGCTTTCTGCAAGAAAATCAGAAAGTATAACAGAGACTATAACTCAGCAGGATATGGGATGGGGTGGAAGTGTTGGTGGGTTACTGTGTTATGTTTGGTCCAAAAAGTACATACCTTTTTAAGATTTTTGTTTAGTAGCTGCAAATTGTCCTAGCCCATCACCTCCACACCACTCTTTGACTCAAAAGTTTTTTGGAAAAACATACTCATTGTAACACCTCCTCAGACTGAATTGAGCTTGAATGATCACAATAAGCCATTTTAAACACATAGCCTAAAAATAACTACAATAACATGGAGAAAAGAAATGTAGCCAGATTAATTGTAGTGTGTTTACAGTGTAGATAGTCTGTATTTTACTGCACCACCAGACTATTTGTAAGGGTGGAACCATTTGCTTACTGTAATACACAAATGATGGTACCTTCGTATCATGTAATGTTCATTCATGTCATGTGTTACTTATGTTTCCATGTATGTTAATACCACAAGACGCTTCAGTCAGCTTAACCACTGTTGTTTCTACTTCCTCACTTCCACCTTGCAATAACAGAGCATTAAAACTTAACTGTTATTCCTCCCTTTCAGACCCTGGTGGTGGTTATGTCCTGTACCCTATTCACTCCTCATCTTCATCTATGATGAGGTCAGAAAATACATCCTTCGGCGGAACCCAGGAGGTAAGAGCTTTGAGCTTTTTATTTGCTTTATCAATAGGTGAAAAATTATATTTCTCAGTCCCAACAATAAAAATTGCAATGAAACAATTACCCAATGAGAAAGAGCATGAGATAAGTCCAGTGTTAGTAAAACTGATTATATACATATTTGTGATCTTACAGAAGTATTATAAAGAAGCATTTTCTAATTTCTGTTTCCCCTTTTTTAGGTTGGATAGAAAAAGAGACATACTATTAAACCACCCCTCTGTGATCCCTCTGCTCCCCATAAATCCATGGTCACATCACAATTTGTTCAGTGCTGAAGATTATACCATAATACAAATGCTCAACCCAGAAAAAATGTGTCTGATGCATTTATTATACTATGTTCTTACACTGAAAAAAAAGCATTTTTGTCATAAGAGGCACAGTCAGGATTTTAGGATGAATCTAAACATCTAAACAAAATTAGGCCACTAACCAGACGGGTAGCCTGACTGACTGTCTGTCATGGGAAAGATAACTTTTCCACATAGAGTAATGCAAAACATCAACAGTGCCTGCATTCATGAAGCTTCTTAGAGTAGGAGTGCTGATCTATGATCAGATTCCTCTCTGATTTACTATGACTTTACTAAGGGGAACAGATCCTAGATCAGCGCTCCTATTCTGAGAAGTTTTATGAATAAGGCCCAGACCTACAGCATTGTGCAAAAGTTAAAGACCACCTTTTATTTATTATTAGTTTTTTAATTTCCAGTCAAAATTGTTTTAAGTACAAGCTTGCACTAGAACAGCAAAACTGAATATCTGAGATTTGGGGCTTTTATGGACTGATGAGTCAGAATTTTGGATTGTGAATCTTGGATTATGAGAAACAGAAAAAGCAACCAACTTTTATGACTGAACTTTGGAGGTGTGGAAAAAAATCCTTTCTGATATCTTTGAAAAACTAAAAGCAATTCTCCCAAAAAGAATGAAAGCTGTATTAAAGTCGAACCCACTAAATGCTGGAAAATGTGATACTTTATTTAGTTGTCGTGACTTCTGTGTAATTGTCTGTTAAATATATGTTTCCTGCTTTTTTTTCCTGATGCTGAAAAGGTATAACTTGTACTTAATGGAAGTTCTGAGTGGAAATGAAATAAATGAAAGAGTGGTATCTGACTTTGGCACAGTACTTTCTTTTTTTCTAACCATAACAGAGGAACTACAATTGTATTCCAAAAGATAGTAATGCTACAGTATATAAAGCCTATAAGAATAGTTGTTGCTGACAGAATGTTACAGCTCCTAAACTTGCAAACATAAACTTCCCTTATTTGTGCTGAGAATGTATAAAACTTGTGCTGAAAGGGAAATTGTATTACTATGGGTGTTCAAAAACCAAAGGGGACAGAGCACTGAAGTTCACTGACATAGCAGTAGTCAATCTTTAATCTTAAAGATGTTAATATATGAAAACCAGGCTTAAAAGGCTAAGCAATAGATCTAACTGAACATGCCCATGTCTTACAATCCTATCTATATAGTGCATTGATTACCACCATAAAATAAAGAAGAAAAGAAAACACTGTTATGGATCACATCTGACTTTTATTCTGGGTGCTCTAGCACAGCAATTAAAGTACAACACTGTTACAGTACTATAGCACTTAAATCATCTCATATAACATTCAAAAGGGAATATCAAAGAGCTAAATATGTGTTGTGGAGTAGGCCTGAATGTATCACCTCTAAGACTCGAAAATGCAGGAGTGGACCTTTAAGGCCTCTTTAATATTACATCAGCCTAACGTCCTCCCACAGGGGGCATCATTCTGCTCTAATGGGGGTGGAACATGATAGTTTCCATGGAAACACATTTATAGGCTAGAACCCGCAGCGTGTAAATAACACTTGATATTTTTAGCTTTCACTTTGAAGATGCTCATTCCTACGCACGCAAACTGTACAGGGCTGGTCGATTTCCAGCAGGAATTCTGCAAAATGTAAATGGATTTAAACGCTAACATGGAGGATTCTTTTTTTATAATCCTGAATAGGCAGCAAACAGTGAGCCTATACACTGTACATAAGAGCTCACTAAACACAAAACTCCGCAAAACAGACCCTATACTGGTCTGTGAATTGTTCTAAATGGGTTGATGATTAAAAGTGATTAAAAGTTAAGCAATGTATCATTTTTAGACAAAAAATAATTTTCTTGTTATAAAGTAGCTATGATTTAGCATCAGTATATCTGAATAGAGAATTTTTGGAATGATTTCTGAACATAAATAGACTTATTATAGACCTACCAGTTCTTCCCCCCTAATTTCACAATTTACATTTCAAAAGACTTATGAAAATTGTGTGATATCAAATGACTTATTTCTTTTATTCTCATTCTCTAAACTATGATGGAAAATAGACGGCTAGGTGGAAGTCTGACTTCTGGCACTGAAGGAAGGTTTTCCTCCTAAAATCCACATCCATAACTCCCTAGCTCTGAATGTAAAAAAAAAAGCAGTAATTAGCCTGAATTTTAACAAACAAGCTCAAAGTGATTCTTTACATTTGCACTGACACATTAAGGGTGAAGCTATATTTTGTCCCACAGTGGATTAGAATAGCTGCAGACCTCTTTAGAAAAAAGGGCGATGTCCAAAGGCGTGCGCATTTAAGAATCATTAACGGCAATTGAAGCAAAAAAAGGGTATCAAATCTTTAAATGATCGCTTTAAATGTAAAGTTTTTAGCTCACAGCTGAAATGTATTAGCCTAAATGAAGCCAGCAAAGCGAAAAAGGCTCATACGCTGAGCTACATCATAAGCAGAAGCACTCCATGCTGCAAGCTCCACCCCTTCATGTTACCATGGCAAGAAGATACGTCACTAGCAAGAAAATCTTCACTGTATAAAAGTGTTGAACCCTCAAACGGCAACGGAGCTTGGATGCGTGTCCGGGTGGAGTGACACGTGTGGGCAGGACACATCCAGGGGGAACCCAAAAAGAGCCAACGGGATTTTTAATTTTCTGACTTTTATCATTTATTTTTTAAAATAATTGGGATTTGAGCACTTAAGTTCTCATTTCATTTCCCCCAAAAGAAGCAAAATGGGACGCGGAGTAAGTGTGTGCTTACTATTCTTACTTTGTGTGGCTTGTTAAGTACAGATTATCCTCTTAACCTGGCGAGAAACGAGCGAGCACATGCTTCGTTGTTTGGTAACGTTAAATCGATGCGGGAACAGATCTTAAGATAACTCAGACACACGACTTCCGCAAATTTCGTTTCTCAGTGGTTTCGTTTAGACTCGTAGATTTTACAATGTATTTGTGATTATGAGGTAAAAAAGCAACAGGTTATGGTGTTACAGTGAACTAACGGGTGTGTTTCTTGCCCGAAAGAGCTCCATAGTTAGTTCACTGAAGATCACGGGAGTATAGGAGACAGTGAAACTTCCACTGAGATGGCCGCAGCTGTAGTGTGGCCTGCTTCACCATGTGTTGGAGGAAGATGTAGTCTTGTGACTGTATTCGTGAGCTGTTTAGGAGCTCTAAACCTTCCGGAGAGGAAAGTATGCCCACCCTCTAAACGTGGCTGGCAAATGCGGATCATGTTTTACGTTTTATATTTTTTCACTTGTCTAAATGATTCGAGCACGTTTTGAACGAGGTGAACGAAAATTTTCCAAAGACTGTGTCTTGCTTCATTGAGCGTTTCACCCACCGCGCTGTTGAACGTAATTGTGATCTCATGTCGCCTTACTGAGACTGATTGTGCAACAGTGTGGGCAGCCCACTGTGTAGAGCTGGTAAATATAACCTACCATTTTAAGCTCGCCTTGGAAGAGCGCGTCGTTTTCTCATGTCTGTTGCAATATGTGAGTCCTAACGTGGGAGATTAATAGGGCCTTCTTGTCTCCTCCTCCTTTTGCGGACCTCTCCCAACCCCCCTTCCTCTCAATGCATGATCTCGCCAGTGGCTAGAAGTCGTCGCTAAGATCGTGACAGAAATAATGTATAAATCGGGTTACTTTTATAGGATTTCTCTTATCTTACACGAGGGAAACGTGGCTCTTGGCTAGTTTTCCCGCGTGCTCTTTGTTTTCTTTTCTATTGGAATGGCATGACTTCAACAGTGGCTCATTGGCTAGTGGCGGGCGTGTCTATGAACAGTATGTCCTCCTGTATGTCACAGCATTGCGTAGAAGCAGCACCACTCCCTGCTGAGAAGAGTGCCGCGCCAGCATAGAAATAAAATATGCATTCACAGCCGGAGCCATCTTTGTGTTGTGGAGGGAGCAACCCTGCATTCAGAGATTGCGTCCGGTTTGGCGCACTGAACAACGCCCCCCACCCCCCACACACACTCCCTGCCTTTACAACCCCCACTGCCATAAGACAAATGCCTTCCCTCTCCAGCGGACATGATGATGTGTTGTTTTAGGCATCTGTTGTTGAGAAGCTGTGTGTGTGTGTGTGTGTGTGTGTGTGTGTGTGTGTGTGTGTGTGTATAAGTAGGGGGTGGGGAGCCGAAGCTATGGTTAATGCTACAGAAATACTCTACAACTGAATGTAAGATCAAAGCATTATAATTTTGCTCTAGGTGTTTGCTCATTATACATTGAGTTCTCTTTCCGTTTCATAAGTGTGCATGGCTCAGTGTTGATAACAGGTGTTGGTCTCAGCTGTGTTCCCTCATGCCCCCACCCCCTGAATGTGTGTGTGTGTGTGTGTGTGTATGTATGTGTGTATGCAGAACTAAGGCCATCGTGTCCCCTCCAAAGGATTTAACATTCTTTCCGTTTCGCAGTCACTACTTGTTAGTGAGCCCTTTTGTCACTTGCGATCCCATCTCTTGAACCGAGATGAGAGCACTGGCCCCCACCTCTCAATGCAGAGGCTGACTTGGTACCCCTTTCCTTTTTTGGTGCTCGGCCTAGAGCAGATACCGTGAGGCATGAACGTCTCCATATTCACTTGATTCTGCTCCATGGGTGTTAGTGAATAGTACCATGAAACTTCAGTAAAGATAAACACGTTTTCATCAGAGTTTTATTTGTACTATGAACAAGTTTTTCCTCTTTATCCCTGGCTATTCAGTGGTTTCGCATGTGAATGCACCCTTTCAAATATCTAGAGGTGTGGCTCTGGCACCCATGGCAACAGGGCCAAGTCCCAGTATTAGGGAAGTGATATCAATGGCTCGCATACACAATGTTTTGGTTTGGCACGCATACAGCAGACAAAAAAGGGGAAAGAAAAGGCTCACATGCAACACTTTGACTGTTTGTTAAATCGGTGCTTTAGCAGATTATCTCCAGATGCCTTGTATACATGTTACTTTCAGAATTTCTTCTTTTAAAGGCTTTGTTTAATGCTAGTTCAGATGTTTGCTGTAACAACAAAAACAAGTCAGATTTCATTGCATTTTGCCTGCGAACTCTTTTTGGAGCCACTGTATTTGTTATTTTACTGACATACTCTAGGGCAATATAATTACTTTTTATGTATTCTCATCTTCACTTTATCTTGACCTGCATTTCTTCACTGTCGTGGTTCATAAAGAAAATGATCTGATCTTTTCTTTCTTCTCATTTACATGTGAAATTCTAGTCTGAAAACTTGTGAACCTTGTCAGCAAATATGGAAAAAACGTGGTCTTTGGAGAGCCTCACCTCGATTTCCTGGCAGTGGTGTTACTCAGATGTGTAGAACCACCTTGCTAGCACCCCTTCTCTTTTGGAACAAGAGAACAAATGGGTCAAATAGCTTTCACCTAGCACTTGAATGCAAACGCCACACACTACTTCAGAAGTAGCGCAGAATGTGCACCTAAATATCATCAGTATGATGCTGTAAACAAATACATGTCTTGCCAGTGCTACACCAAAAAAAATACACGTGTGTGCGTGTGCGTGTGCGTGTGCGTGTGTGTGCGTGTGCGTGTGTGTGTGTGTGTGTGTGTGTATGTATGTATAAAGTTTCTTGAAACAATAAACATACTGGGAAAAATCTTTCAATCCCATCTTGCTAAAAGGAAATCCAGTTCAGCCAGACTGTGAAAAGAGACCATAAACAAACATTAACTTAAATGTGTAGTATATCACTAACATCTTACAACAGAATTAGCTAGCTAGATAGCTATAAATGCTTACCCCTGATCAAGGCAAGTTAGGAAAAGTTACAGGAAATAATTATTCTTGTTTGTTATGCATATTTATAATTAGCCCTCTACATTAAATAACTAGCGGCAGCAAACAAATGAGACTGCTGATATTTCTGGTCCCAAAATGGTATCTCCGCACCCCAATGCTTAGTGTAGAAATAACACTGAATTGTTGCTTTAGAGGTGTGTGTATATGTGTGCGTGTGTGTGTGCATGTGTGTATGTGTTGGTGTGGTTCCTCTTTTTTTCTAAAAATGCTGGGGGGAAACCCCTTTCAACCAAATGAGGGTGTCCCTAAATAAATTGCATAAGTATACCTGACATTGGAACTGAATTTGTTATTAGGTTCTGTTAATGTTTCAGGGTTGAATTTAAAATGATAAACTTAAAAACAAATGCTCCAGACATCAATTTTAGCAGTATTTAGAGTATTTTCACTATTACTGAACTGCTTTACAGGCCTTTCTGTAATAAATAAATGATGTCTGGCTTATGTTTGAAAAAGAGATGGCTATTTTTAGACATGCACCATCTGGTTCTCTATAGGCCAGTGATGGAACAACTTTCTTTTAATCTAGCTGATGCTAAACTGCTGATCTAATTTCGCTAGTAGCTCTCTAAGACTCCGAGACAGACTGTGTGCCATCCTCGCTGGAAGGAATCGCTGTAAAACTGGAACATGCAAATACAAGTCTCTGTCGGAGGCTTTACATATACGTAATGGTGATGCCAAAACAAAAACATTTATAAAACACAGGAATGTAAGCAGAATTTAGGTGAGTACAAAAAACATGAACCTAAACTAGTGGCTATCAGACATGTTTTACAATATTGGATTAGCTTGTTGCTACTAAATGAATAGATTCAATAATGAATTGCTCTTGATAAGTATCATTATTGCTGCTATATTTCATATAATAAGCAGTTAACACCTTTCTTTGGTTTAAAGTGTAACTACACCAAGACCATTTTTTTCATTAACAGCTGAAATGCACTGCTCTGTAATAATAAAATATACCAGCCTTGCTTAAAATGTTAACCAATTTCCGAACTGTGAAAATATCACTTTTATTCGTGGTCAGTTCTGCCTCTGCAGCGCCCCTCTGGTTCAGCTCTGCTATAGATGCGGATGACGTGTCTTCGTACTGAAGTATGATGACGATGAAATCAGTCAAACAACGTCACCGCCCCCTGATGACACCCTACTCGTGCTGCACTCATAAATATGAAAGCGTAGGAGCCTAGAGCGAGGAGATAACCACACTCATGTGCTGAGCTAAATATCCCGAGCACCACCTCGCAAGGTTGAGATGCCAGTTGTCTGTACCAACTGTAAATAACGCAGTCAGTCTGAGCATAGTTTGTAATAAAGATTGATAATGTTCAACATATGACTAGGTAACCTGAAGCACCGATTAAGGATTTTTGCAAGTCTCCATAAAGCTGCCGATGTTGCATCCGATTCACATTTCCCTTCACAAATCAAACTCGGGTGTGCACACTCACTGAACAGAAATCAACACGAACTACGGAAAGCGACAAAGTTCAGGAAAGGTCAACGTTGAATGGCCGTTGTTAGCAACCTTTCATCTGTACAGCCTTTCTCGAACTTTTTCCTGCTTTCCTTAGTTCCAGTGTTGCTTGCTGTTGATGGCTGACTGGTGATGCAGTCTGTAACCTTGATGTCAAACTGAATGAAACTTGGTGTTTAATGAAATCCACTTTATTAATTCAGAATTCAGTGCATCTAAGAAATCAGGACTTGGGTTATATAGAATATGGACCTGCTGAACAGATAATTAGAAGCTAGCTGTTGTGGTTTCAGGGAATGTTCTGCCACTTGGATGTCTCTGCCGTTCGCTGCTGAATCATTTTCTGGCACTATGTGAACTCTTCAGCGGCTTGAGTCAGTGGCTCATACTGTTAAGGCTCAAGACACACTGCCTGATCAGAAACCAGAAAGATGGGGGATGGTAGTAGAGAAAAATCAGCCTTGTAAGACCTCTCTGTTCCAAAAGTGCCGTTTGATTCTGTCTCTCTCCATATTTTCTGGTAGCTAACGTTAACTGTAAAAACACAACAGCCCAGCCTGCCCGGTTTCCCTCGCAGCCCCACCTACCAGCATGCCCCACTTATTTTTGAGCATTTTTCAAATTGTGCCAGGGGTGGAGTTTACTGAAAATAGTGGGGTGGAGTTACTCTTTAAATTGCTAAAATTAAATTATTTTAGTATAATTTAGTAGCGGTTATGAACTTAAGAGTTAAAGGCATCCTCTAAATACAAAAAGGAAAAAGGTGTATTTTATTTTTGTAATTTGGTAGGGACATGTCTATGATGAATGATTCTGTCATGCTGCTAGCTTTATAGGTTTCAACAAATTAGTAGAAAGCTGTAAAAGTGAAGACTTTTCAGAATGTTGAACAAGGCTGTGAATGATTCTATAATGAATACGAAAAGAGGTGTTCAAATCTTGAGGCAGAATTGGAGATGTTAAATTGCCCCTACGTGAGAGTCTGCATGAATGTGTATGTCTGTCTGTGTGCCCTGTGATGGACTGGCGACGTGTTCAAGGTTGTTTCCTGCCCTCTGCCCAGTGACCGCTGGGATAGGCTCCAGCAGCCTCTCCGCAACCCCGGAGTGTGTGTGTGTGTGTGTGTGTGTGTGTGTGTGTGTGTGTGTGTTCTTGATAGGGATACAGCAATTATGAGAATTTTGTGGAGCAGTACCTATATTTGATATTTCTAATTTAAATATCTGCCAAAGCCGACGTATAAACGTTTATAAAATACGTTGTTTATTTATATATACAGGGTTAGAAATGCAGAAAAATAATGAATAAAAATGCAGGTATTTGTCCAATGCCAATATTTTATTTTAAGCAAATATTTTTCAATACCGATATGTTTCTGATATTGTGCATCACTAGTTCTTGATTTTCCAAAAAGAAACTGTAATGTTAATGAATGAATAAAATGTTAAAGTGCTTTCTGATGTCTAGCTTATAATATTTCAGACTACACTAAGTTATTATTGAGTAAAATTAGTTACTAATATGACATATGATTCCAAACCTTTGTCACGATGCAGAGTTTGTATGTGAAAGTCCTGTTAAATTGCTGGTTTTGCATACAGTGAACTTTTCCTTAAAAATGCTTGTACACCACTTTGTCCCTTCCTGTGTGATGACTCTGTAATGGAGGCTGACACTGATATGGACACTGGAGATGGTGTGTGTGTTTTTCCCCCCCTTCTTCTTCATGGTATTTATTAATTATGACTATGTATTCAAAGTGCATATTAACAGCAAACTTGATGCTAAATTTCTCTATGTTGTCATTTTTGTAGCAATCCAATAATTACCCCTTTACTCTGCTTTGTTTTCTAATTGCTTTATTATTTTGAATTGGTGCCAGTTTTAAGAAAAGCTGCTATTAATCATGGGGAAAAAAGTTTAAGTGTGATTGTTTGGTGTATTGCAGGAAGGTCGGGAACAGTATGAGCTGGCAGCCACCTCAGAACAGGGGGGCAAGAAATCCAAGTCAAAGGGCAAGAAGGACAAGGATAAAGATATGGATGAACTCAAAAAGGAAGTTGACTTGGTGAGTCAGTCTCTTGGAAATTAAACAAAACTGCTGACAGTGAAATGCGTGACATTCTAGTACTAAGTTCAGAGAGATCTTTGTTTCCAATTAAAATTTTCTCTAGGATGATCACAAGCTGACGCTAGAAGAACTCAACAGGAAGTATGGCACTGATCTAACAAGGGTAAGCCTTATTAATTCCACATAACAAATCAAAAGTAAAAATAGGCACTACCTTTTGTTGGCTCTTTTTGAGGGCTTGTAAACTATGGCAGAATATAGGTTTGAGTTTTTGTATTCACTTTAACATGGTTTACATCATATGCTGAATTTCTGGTTCACGTGTGTCTACGTCTGCGACCAGGGGCTGACTGCTGCTCGTGCAAAGGAGATCCTTGCACGTGATGGACCCAATGCTCTGACGCCCCCTCCCACGACCCCAGAATGGGTGAAATTCTGCAAACAGCTCTTTGGTGGCTTTTCTACTCTACTGTGGATTGGAGCTATACTTTGTTTCTTGGCTTATGGAATTCAAGCAGCCTCAGAAGATGAACCAGCAAATGATAATGTAAGAAAAAGATTTTATTAGATTGGAGGTCTGTTATGTAAAGGTTGTCACTGGTCAGTAGCAGGATCCTTTAACCCCTGTCTCATTGTCCTACAGTTGTACCTGGGTATTGTGCTGTCTGCAGTGGTGATGATCACTGGGTGCTTCTCCTACTATCAAGAAGCTAAAAGCTCAAAAATCATGGATTCCTTCAAGAACCTTGTACCTCAGGTACTGAAAACATGTCCTTATATTAAGACTCTCCCTTCCTGTTATAAAGCAAATGTGTTGTTACTGATCGTTCTGATTTGTTCATTAGCAAGCCTTGGTTGTCCGTGATGGTGAAAAGATGAGCATAAATGCTGAGGACGTAGTCGTTGGAGATCTTGTGGAGGTTAAGGGAGGAGACAGAATTCCTGCTGATTTGCGTATTATTTCTGCTCATGGATGCAAGGTGAACATATGCTAATAATAATTGAGTGTTGGCTTCCTCAGAACCAAAACCTTCTTGTCTGTAATGACTCATTTGATGTCCTCCTCTTTTTAGGTGGATAACTCCTCCCTGACTGGTGAATCTGAGCCCCAGACACGAACTCCTGACTTCTCCAATGAAAATCCCCTGGAGACAAGGAACATTGCCTTTTTTTCCACCAACTGTGTTGAAGGTACATAGCTCAAGTTCTGAGCTGTTCGGGTATCCAGTCATTCAACAAATGTTCAGTACTCAGTGCCTGAAAATGTCTTTACCTTTTTTAAACTTTTAGGTACTGCTAGAGGTATTGTCATCAACACTGGTGATCGCACTGTCATGGGCCGTATTGCTACTCTTGCGTCTGGTCTTGAAGTTGGCCGAACCCCCATTTCTATAGAAATTGAGCACTTTATCCACATTATCACTGGCGTAGCTGTTTTCCTTGGCGTGTCCTTCTTTATTCTCTCCCTGATTCTTGGATACAGCTGGCTGGAGGCAGTCATCTTCCTCATCGGTATCATCGTTGCTAATGTGCCAGAAGGTCTCTTGGCTACTGTAACTGTGAGTACCAGGTTGAAGAACATAAAAGAATATTGTAGCAAATATACTGTAAGTGAATTATCTCAGCCTGCATCTATCGGAGTGATAACCAATCTCTTCTTGTCCATGTATATAGGTTTGCCTGACTTTAACTGCCAAACGTATGGCAAAGAAGAACTGCCTTGTGAAGAATCTTGAAGCTGTTGAGACCCTTGGCTCCACCTCAACCATCTGCTCGGACAAGACTGGAACCCTGACCCAGAACCGTATGACTGTGGCTCACATGTGGTTTGACAACCAGATTCATGAAGCTGACACCACAGAGAATCAGAGTGGAACCTCTTTCGACAGAAGCTCTGCCACTTGGGCTGGTCTGGCTCGAATTGCAGGCCTGTGCAACCGTGCTGTATTCCTTGCTGACCAAGACAACATTCCAATCCTCAAGGTACTTGTTCACATTCATATTCACTCAGCTGCTTTAAAGTGAGATACATTTGGTTTTATACATGCTATTTGAACACACATGCCTGTCATTACTGCACCTCTCTAAGGTTGTTTACTGACTGCTAAGACTTATTTTTCTGCTCATGTTCCAGTGTGATTTTGGTCTTTGCCTCCAGGGAATCTTTGTGCCCTTTGCTCCCAAGAGCTTCTTAGCAGTACTTAGTCTCCCTGTAAACACTCTTTCTGCCTTCTCATGTCAATAGTTTGTGAATCACTGCCACATTTTAGCTGTACCAATCAAGTTCACTTTTAAGAGGTAGTTGATAACTCACCATTATGCAAGTGTTATTTGTGTAAGTGTTCTGAATTGGAAGGATTGTCCTTTAACAGCTGTGATGCAAAACTGTAATGAGCTTTGTAAAAGCAAATGTACTGTAATACCAAAACAATGAAATGAAATGCTTAATTGCTCTTTTCCACAGAGGGATACAGCTGGTGATGCCTCAGAGTCTGCCCTCCTGAAGTGTATTGAACTCTGCTGTGGTTCAGTGAAGGACATGAGAGACAAATACACAAAGATTGCTGAGATCCCTTTCAACTCCACCAACAAGTACCAGGTAACTTGATTCACTCACTTTATAACTTGTGCGTTATGTGGTCTTCCTGTTGATACTGATTTGCTGATTTGTCGCTTGGCTTTTCTCCATTAGTTGTCCATCCACAAGAACCCTAATGAGGGAGAGAGCAAGCACCTGCTAGTAATGAAGGGAGCTCCTGAGAGGATCCTGGACCGGTGCTCAACTATTGTGCTTCAGGGAAAAGAACAGCCCCTAGATGATGAGATGAAGGATGCTTTCCAGAATGCTTACTTGGAACTGGGTGGCTTAGGAGAGCGAGTGCTGGGTAAGACTGTTACTAACTGCTGCTGTAACAAATCAATTTAATAAGTAGAGGTGGTCAATATGTGGATGTTACTGTTAAAATGACAGATTGAGTATATTGCGCGTTGTCAGTATTTAAGGATGACCGAACAACTGCACATTTTGTTGGACAGCAATTTTTTTTTGGTGTGTGTGTGTGTGTGTGTGTGTGTGTGTGTGTGTGTGTGTGTGTGTGTGTGTGTGTGTGTGTGTGTGTGGTGTTTTTTCTTTTGTAGGTTTCTGTCACTACAGCCTTCCTGATGACCAGTTTCCTGAGGACTTCCAGTTTGACACAGACGATGTGAACTTTCCAACTGAGAACTTGTGCTTTGTTGGCCTCATGTCTATGATTGATCCACCACGTGCTGCTGTGCCTGATGCTGTTGGCAAGTGCAGAAGTGCTGGAATCAAGGTAAAACACCAAATGTTCTAACTGTAATGTTCTTAAACTGGGAAACCCTTCAGACTTCACAGCCTGTACTGTCTTCCAGGTTATCATGGTCACTGGTGATCATCCAATTACAGCAAAGGCCATTGCTAAGGGTGTGGGTATCATCTCTGAGGGCAACGAGACTGTCGAGGACATTGCTGCTCGTTTGAACATTCCTATCAATGAAGTCAACCCCAGGTAATGCGTTGCTCTTGTATTTTGGGATTTATGTGCCGTGTTTGCAGAGTCCATGTGGTGTTAGAATAACATCCATGTGAACTCCCCTTGACTTTATTTCCAGAGACGCCAAGGCTTGTGTGGTCCATGGTGGTGATTTGAAGGACCTGACCCCTGAACAACTGGATGATGTCTTGAAACATCACACTGAGATTGTGTTTGCAAGAACATCTCCTCAACAAAAGCTGATTATTGTGGAAGGCTGTCAGCGCCAGGTAACCACTTGATCTCCGATCCATTGAACTGTAGAGTGAAAGTTATGAGTGATAAAAGATAGAAAACTGTACAAGGTCACACTTACTTTTCATCTTAACAGGGTGCCATTGTGGCTGTGACTGGTGATGGTGTGAATGATTCTCCTGCTCTGAAGAAGGCTGACATTGGTGTAGCTATGGGTATTGCTGGATCTGATGTCTCCAAACAGGCTGCTGACATGATCCTCCTGGATGACAACTTTGCCTCAATTGTTACTGGAGTGGAGGAAGGTGAAGGACACTTAAATAGAATGAACCTTGGTTCAGCTGCCACTTATGGTTGTGACATTTGAACATAAATTGATTATTCTTTTTTCAGGCCGCCTAATCTTTGACAACTTGAAGAAATCAATTGCTTACACCTTGACGAGTAACATTCCTGAGATCACTCCATTCCTCCTCTTTATTATTGCAAACATCCCTCTTCCTCTGGGCACAGTCACCATCCTCTGTATTGATCTTGGCACGGACATGGTAAGCATAATTCCTGAGAACTCATTTTTGTCAGTACTTTGTAAATTTAGCAAAATGTACAATAAATGCTCTCAACCTTCAGGTTCCTGCTATCTCCTTGGCTTATGAGGCTGCTGAGAGTGACATTATGAAGAGGCAGCCCAGAAACCCCAAAACAGACAAGCTAGTGAATGAAAGGCTGATTAGCATGGCCTATGGACAGATTGGTAAGTACCCCCGTCACTTCATTGAAGAAACCCTAGACATCATGTTTCACACATACATTTGAGAGTTTTACACAGAAGCAAGGATTTGATAATTGTCAGGAGAGACTGGTAGAGAGCGAGATTTAACAAAATGAGTGTAATTTGTGTGAGGGTTTATAGTGCTGTTGAATTTTGTTGGCTTTTTTTTTTCTTCCTGTGGTTTATAAAAGGTTGCTTCTTTTGTTGGTTCGTGCGCTGTAGTAATTCCGCTGTAGTTAAGTCAAGCCTCCTTGCTTGTTTAGTCACAGAATTTAAGCCAGCTCTGCACCGTGTTGATCAGACAAATTTTTGCCACAAGTGTACATTTGCCATAAACAAAATCTTTGTAATAGTACTGATTTGCTTTTGCCGAATGACAAAGAACCTTATTTATCATCTCTCTTTTCTATAAAACATGAACCTCACTGCAGGTGTATCTGCGCTTTTCTGCCTGTTATCAGTTCTTTATCATGTTGAGGTCTTCTGCAAGCAGTAGATTGTCTCTGTACTCAGGAGGTTTTCAACTGTTTTTGCTATGCCTTATTCCTCTGGCACTCCTCTTTTGAATTTAAGGTTGCTGCACAATCATTTTCAAGCTTGATTATTTTCTAATAATTTACAAACTACAAGGAAAAATCCAAATCCATGATTTTCAAATTAGCTAAACTGTCCCATTAAAGTAAAAGCAAAAAATCTGCTTTTAATTCTGCTTTTTAGTCTTAATTATTTAGTGCTTAAAGCAGTTTATACTTTCATCATATACTTTAGAGAACACAAACAGTGTGTTGTGCAGATACGCAAATGTAAACCAAGTGCACCTGTAGTGATTGGGCTTGGGGGTGTAGTGTTGCACATACCGGATTAAGTGTGATCAATTCTGAGGTCAAGATTTGGTTTGATTTTTCAGTATTTTTTGTTGAAAAACATCTTGGATTTAAGAGGATTATAAAGTGATATACTACACAGAATTAAATACTAGACAGAATACTTTGGCTCATTGTTATGGCTTTTCATACCCACCACACCAGCCCTGTAACAAAATACACCCCCAAAAACCCCAACCCCAGGAATTAATAAGTGACTTCAGAAAAAACGCTGTGATTTGAGCATGACTGCATGCGTAGCATTAAGCCACACTCCTTCCCTTCACTTCACTCTAAGATGCACCCAGATGCATGATCATTGACAGTGGTATCCACAAAAGGAGCAAATGAGATTATTTGAAGAAACCAAGAGATGTTTTGGCTCTATGTGTATGTGTGGTTGTTGTTTTGTGTTTGTGTGTGTGTGTGTGTGTGTGTGTGTGTGTTGTGTGTTGTGTGTTGTGTGTTGTGTGTTGTGTGTTTTCCCTTCTCCTTCTTTACTTTGCACAGTGTTTCAAAGGGGTTTACCCAATACTTCAAGTTGGCATGGGTTTCAAAAGTTAATTTCCGCTTGTAAAATGGATCTATTGATAAAACCAGAGTCAATTTTTCTGCTGCAAATCATGTCATTAACCTGACTTAATCATTTGACTTCAGAACATGCATCAGAACATGTGACCATGTGCTGACCTTGTTCCCGCTCACAGGTATGATTCAGGCCCTTGCTGGCTTCTTTACCTATTTTGTCATTCTGGCTGAGAATGGATTTTTGCCATCCACATTGCTGGGTATACGTGTGTTTTGGGATGACAAGTATATCAATGACCTTGAAGACAGCTACGGTCAGCAGTGGGTGAGTATATAATTCTGGTGTTGTCAGGTTTCCACTGAGATTTGAATGCCAGCCTTCTTATGTCTGTATGTGTTTTTCAGACATATGAGCAGAGAAAGATTGTGGAGTTCACATGCCACACTGCTTTCTTTATCAGTATTGTAATTGTGCAATGGGCTGACTTGATTATCTGTAAGACCAGGAGGAATTCAGTCTTCCAGCAAGGAATGAAGTAAGTGGAGGATTCATAATTCTTCCTAGAAGAGGTTCCAAAATGTTCTCCTGGTAAATTGTCTGGCTTTAATAGTTGTAATGTCTGGATTTAAGATTATAATGTAAGTTCTTGCCAATGCAGGAACAAAATTCTCATCTTTGGCCTGTTTGAGGAGACGGCCCTTGCCGCCTTTCTGTCCTACTGCCCAGGCATGGACGTTGCCCTCAGAATGTACCCCCTCAAGTAAGTTGGTTGTTGGTTGTTGGTTGTTGGTTGTTTGGTTGTTGGTTGTTGTAATCTTTTTGCATCTTGTTTTTCTAGACCAAACTGGTGGTTCTGTGCATTCCCCTATTCACTTCTCATCTTTATTTATGATGAAATCCGGAAACTTATCATCCGGCGCAGTCCAGGAGGTAAGGGGGTTCTAGACTCTCTACAGTAGTCTTTTGTAATGAATGTTAAATGTTCATATATTTTGAGGTTTTTGTTTTGTACTGCACTCTGTATGTTGTACGTGATCTCTAAAGAGGTGTATTCATGTTTTGTTGTAGGTTGGGTGGAGAGAGAGACCTACTACTAAAGCATCCAGATGACATCACACACATTTTTGCATGGCTGTCTTGCTGCTTGGAATTTTAACCTCAGTAATTTGGATATACATATATCTTTAGGGAATGCTTGACACAAACACTGAGATCGTGAACCAAGACATTGTGTGCCTTGTTTCTGAAGCTGGACCAATTTTATACATGGTTTTTAAAAGTGTAATGTTAATAAACTCTCGGTCAGGTCCCACATTTGGAGTCATTTGAATGTTCTGTTTTTTGTTTTTTGTTTTCATTATTTTTCTTTGTTTATAACAGATATTTGGAACATAATGAGAATGCCATTGTTCTCTGGTACACTGAGCACTTTGTGTCAGTTGACCAGGAGACTTTTACTTCACATGGCATTAAAAAGTGATTAAACTCATTACACCTACTCACTTCCACTTCAACTCAACGAGTGACCATTTCAGTGACCTTTCTGAGCCCATTTCTACAGCCTCAGTTTCTGAAAGGAGGGCAAAGCTGTTTTATAAAGAGGAGTTAGTTTAGAGCCTCCCAGTAGTGAGAGAGGACCCATTTTAAGCAGTTCTGGTATGCAAAATCCACTACCTGGAGGAGGAATGCAGAGGGGGGGGGCGGAGGGGTTGGGTAAATGGTCCTAAGGCTATAACAGAATGTCCTGTAGTGTTTACAGCTCAGAATCCATTTCATCTGTCTTGCCATGGTGGGTTCACTTTGTGTGTTTACTTCTGTTTTTGTCTTTCTTAATATTTTACTTGGTCAGTGTTGTCTTTGGAGGGAGAGGAGCTGGAAACGGTCCTATCTCTCCTGTTCTGCCTATAGGGCTTCAAGCAGCATGGGATTGAGAGAGAAAGCATGTAGTTTAAGCCTGAATGAACCTGGCTCCCCAGGTGTCAGGTCTGTTTCTGCTCAGTAGTCTTACACTGGCAGCAAAAGCTGCTCTGTAATTCTTTGAAGCTGAGGCTGTTGAAAATCCATGCTTTTCTGTTCCTTTTTTATTTTATATTTCTACATCATAATAATCCTGGCTATTCTTAAGGGAGTTTGACCCCAGCAACCAAATGTTTAATTTCATGTAATTATGCAAGACATGCCATTAAAGCACCAGGGCACAAATGTTGTGTGTTTTTGAGAATCCTACACCCCTTACACCCTTGCTGAAAACCATTTTTCCATTGTGTTACAAGGTTGTCCAATTTGTGTACAAGGTTTTAAAAAAAACTTTACCTTTTTTATCTTCTACATTTTCAATTAACATGCTCCAAATATTACTGCCATCATTTCCAAATTTTAAATGAGCCAATAGCTATTCAACTAGCCAAATTTGCACCTCAGCTACTGGAAAATTTATAATAGCATAATAAAATCCAAAATTCATAAATGGCATTGAAACCATGCATGAATATTGAATGATGCTGATTTACAGTGTGGATTAGGCACTATTTTGAATTCTCAGCTATGCTGTGTGTTAAGTTACAATTTCTCACAGTGACATATCAATTTAGTATTGCTTGTTTATTTATTTGTTTTTCCTAGAGGATTTTGGGGGATCAGTAAGAGGACCACAGCTCATTTACAGCTGGTCACTTGGCAGATTAAGCATGAAGCCGATTCCCAATTGCTTTTGCCTGAAGTATGAAACAAAGGAAGAGAAAATGTGTAATTTGTATACAAAACCATGTATGTCATGTGCATGATTTTGCATGACTTTCAGAGAACTATACATCTGAAATGCTGAGTGATGCTGTTCCTGTATGACGTGGTCCTTTGACAAGGGCCTGGTGGCCCAGCACTTGTTAATTGTGGCGAGAGAATGCAGAACAAATTCTTTCCCGACAGAATTTCCCCTTAATTACAGCAGCTGACTCCAGTGCTGAGTGAGCTCATGAGCAGACAAGAGAAAAACGCTGACACCAGGTCACTTTTGGATGTCATCAATTCTGCCTAATTTGGGCTTGAACACTTTTTGACACCTTCATGAAAAGCAGGAAAAATGAGCTTGCCAATTGTTGTTGTCTGTTTATGACTTATTGGATATGTAAACCATCACTGTAAATGCATTCCCCATGTGAATGAAGACTGTTAATGAAACCAATAAAAAAAAAAATGCAAAAAAATCTTTTGTACCATGTCTCTTGAAAGTGCTGTTGAATCAGCTTTTTTGGTAGGCTGCTAGTTTCCCATCCTTCTTAAGCACTTTCAGGCCTGAGTTCTCATCTTTTTGTACATATACTAATGTGCACTACTCACAATAACATTACTAAACATGTTTGTAAAATTTTTGTAAACATACTCGAGGAAAGAAAAAATACATGGGCTACAACAGATAATGGCATGCAAGATTTTAATGTTTTTTTAGGGCATATAAAAATGAGATACTCCCAATCAATATTTTATTGTGAACTCCAAAGCCAGGATAAGTTATTCTGCATATAATTATAAACACTAAAATATTCTGCTTGCATAACAGCTCCAAGCTTAGATGGGTGAAAAAACCCTAAGAAGGACGCAACGGCCATATAATTCCACTAGAATTAATTAACACACTACAGCAAGTTAGAGATACAGTGCTGTGCAGAAATCAGAGATCACCCTCTATTTACTTAATTTCCAGTCAAAATGGCCATTAAATCTTTTGCGTTTCCCCTTCCTTCCATCTAATATTCTCTGAAATATTTCCTGAAAAATTAACTTGTAATTAATGGTTATTTGGAAATTAAATAAATAAAGGATGGTCTCTGACTTTTACACTGTACAGTAAAGGGTTTCCTAGTTCAGCCAATCATAGCAGACCTGGGGGAAGGTCTCTGTTTATGCACTGCAAAGTAATCATTAGCCTAGCTAAAGACAGGATTTTGGCTAAAATCTCACTAAAATAAACCTTAGACCTTATTTATAATCTATAATATGCAGAAGTGTTAAACTAAGTGAATATATCCACATACAATATAGATTTGTGGCAAATTATGGTCAGTATAGCTGGATGTATGTTTTTTTACTTGGTTGCTTGTTAATTCTAGCTAGCTAATTTTAGTTAGCTTTGGGTTTAAGTGAGGTAAAGAAAAGGGGTTAGGATAACACTACATTAGCTAACTAGCTGACAAGCCAACTGGTTTAACCTCCTTTCATAGTGTGTGTGAGAGTATGAATGAACAGGAAGGATAAAAATACGGCTCTTTATATTCTTTGTTTTGGGATTTCTTTTCAATATTTGGAAGCAGTGACACCAGTTTGCCATATATTTTTGTTTGCAGTAAGTTAACGTCAGTGAAAAGGATGAGGCTGAAATTGGCTTCCTATTGGCCAGATTCTTGTTCACATTTTCCCACTGCATGGCACCAGAATGTAACCGCTGCAGCATTTAAGGTGGAATGGGAAAATTCAAACAAGAAGAGACTTCAGTGTTCCCCTTCACAACTCAAATTCTCAGGCACGAATCCTCACTTAATCGGTCCAACATCTTTATTAGAAACTAAGCTTAGATTAAGTGGGTTATTTACAGTTGGTACAGACAGCTGGCATATCGCAGCCTTGTGTGGTGGTGCTGGGGGTATTTAGGTCAGCACGTGAATGTGGTTATCTCCTTGCCCTAGCCTATGCTTTCATATTTATGAGTGCAGCACGAGTAGGGCGTCATCAGGGGACAGTAACGTTGTTTGACTGATTTGCATACTGTGATTCTTCATATTTTGGTATAAAGACACATCATCCGCACCTATAACAGAGTTGAACCAGAGGGGCACTGCAGAGGCGGAACTGACCACGATAAAAATTATATTTTTTACAGTTTGGAAAGATGTGTTCACATTTTTAGCAAGACTGGTATATTTTAATATTACAGAGCAGTGCATTTCAGCTGTTAATGGAAAAAAGGTCTTAGGGTGTTACTCTTTAACATGGCTGATGTACTTCACATTTTCTGGCTGTTGCTACTCTAAAAGTGTATTTTAAAATTCTCTTTGGGGACCATGCCCCCAGACCCCCCTAGTACAGGCTTAGCCCTGCTACCCATTGAACCTCTAGTGATATTTCATGGACAGTGTGCAAAACTGGTACATATTTACCACAAAATAAATTTTTGAAGCTTTTATTGCAGCAAGTGATGCTATACCAAATAGTAATATATTGGGATTGAATACTTTTCACTTTTCATTTTATTTATGGTAATTTATGCACAGTAAGGCAAAATATATTAAAACAATGCTGATTTTTTTTAGATTTACCACTATTTTATCATTGTCAATAATACATATGAAGAGTTAATTTGCAAAAATAGATATCTCCATCAATTTTAATACATATTTTTTTTTTATTGTACATTCCAGGTAATAGCAGTCAAACTGCTGTTGGGTTGTTTTGATTAAGTAGAAATAACTACATGTAATTGTAATGGTAATTTGGTGTTTCAACAGGTTAAAGTTTAAGTTAAACAAAGCCATGTAATGGATACACATTTCTTTTAAGTGCAGTATTTAATATTCTTTAACATAAAACAAGTAAGTAAAGTGCTGGAAATTGTGACAAAAACAGCTCATAAATGGGCGACATTAAACATCTATAAGATCAGACTTTGGAAAATCCTAAGGCTGAATCTCAATTGGAGCTGCCGTTTGACTGTTTCTGTGGTAAAACTTGAACTTGTAATGCCTCCTTGGGACAAAAAACAATGTATTCCAATATATAGTGCATAGTTCAGAATGCGCTATGTATTGGAATAACACAACAGTCAGGCGTTTATTGTTTTTCTCTTTTTTGCAAATTAATTCTTAATATATAAACTCATAAAGCACGTAAAAGGTCTCTGGTAGTTTGGATAGTAAAAAAGGCTATATTTTATGCTGTAGACATGGTGACCTCTGGGTCCTATCACTGCCATTGAAAAGAAATCATTCAGTAAGTTTCTCAACAGTGAACAATTTCACATCAAACCACTCTAAATGACTTTTTTTCATATCACTGACTGAATTATACAGTGTTAGAGCATATGAGTTCACAATAAAATACTGAAAATATGTATCACTTGTATGTGAATGACTTTGGATACATTTGCAAGGTTCTGTGTATGTAGTGGTTAAAAGTTGGAACATGC